TACACGTGCCTGAGCAAGCGTTTGCAACAGGGATTGGATAGCCACCCTAGTAAATGGCTTATGTAAGGCGAAAGATTAGATAAGATTAAAAAATATGTATTAATATTCTGATTTTCTTTCTTCTTCTAATGATAATGTCATTATATCAGACGATATGAAAAATATTTACATAAAATAAATAGACTTATATTGCTTATGTTATTTAATGGAAAATGCTGCTTAAATACACACACACACAATATATATATATATATATATATATATATATATATATATATAGAGAGAGAGAGAGAGATAAATAGATAGATAGATAGATACGTACATACATACATACATATTTGTTTAAATGTTATTTTTAATAGATATTCATACATGAGTATTTGCCTTGTTTTTATTATTAAACAGTATATTTATGCATTTGCATCTACTGACCTGAATATTCGAAACATCTTCAATCTGACGTACCTTGACATCTCGGTCACGTTGGACCTCCTGATCAATCAAAGACCGAATAGTGCTTTTGAACACATATCTTCCAGATTCTCGAGACATACATCTGCTCTGTTTCGCATTCTAACTTAAACGAAGACAATTGAAAGAATTTAAGTCAAGGAAATGGCTTAAATTTGATATATTTTAAAACGTTATTTTAAATGGGTACTCATATTTCAGTAGATGTTGTGTTTTTATAATTCAACTGTATAATTATTTATTTATTTTTACTAGCCTGACTGTCATTAAACAAACAAATTAAAAATATTTCGTATTTAATCCATTTCCTAATGTGTATATATATATATATATATATATATATATATATATATATATATATATATATATATATATATATATAAATATATATATATATATATATATATATATATATATATATATATAAATATATATATATATATATATATATATATATATATATATATATATATATATATATATATATAGTGTGTGTGTGTGTATACCCAAGTATAGGATTGGTGCATACGGAATAAATTCCAATAACGAAAAAAAATACTATTGTTAAAAGAGTGCTCAATACAGAGTAGAGCAAATATAATCATTTATTCGAAAATTATAACATAAATATATTATAAAATCCCTAGAAAAATAGCCATTTTGTTTTAACCCTTCTGGTGTCTTCTCAAGTGATGGGGTTGAATGTAGAATAAAGAGTTTTAAAAGGTTCAAATCAATCAAACACCCCTCGCGAGGGGAAACGCTGTTACATAAGCTGGAATGACCAATCAAAATACAAGTATATGAGAATTCCAAAACATGACAACGAACTTTCCTTATAATAATTATTTAATGATTTAATGTTAGGGTTAGACTAAAATGGAATTCATAGTAACTAATGAATATTAAATTTTACTATAAAATTAAAAATTACCAATTTTAAATTTTAACTTTAATCTGTATTAAAATAAAAGTATCTGAGGAAAAATACATGTTTTGTTATTTCTTTTTGTTTTTTTTTTCAATAAAAACAGCGGAAATTGAAAGGCCGAAAATTAAGTTGAAATAAACGTTAAAATCTAATGTTGCTCTGAACTCCGTTACAACTTAGATACACTTGAAGTGAGGATATAGGCAGGGGAGGGTGAAATCTTGCAAAAGACAATACATACACAATCAGATTATAATACACGAACACTTAGATATATTTAAATATATAAACACGAAAAAAAGTGACGAAACAGGAAATAACTGTCCACGACCCTTAAAAAAACATATACATACAATGAAAGGCATATATAAGCAATTATACACACATACAATGATAAAGACATGCACATATACCTACCAAGAAATATTCAAATTTGAAAGTGTTAGTAAATGAATTCTAACATAATATTAATATATATCTTATACGGGAAAAGATATATTGAGAAAAATTGTTGAATAGTTAATATTTAATATGGCTAGAATAGAAAAACAAATATTCGTCAATGAACAACATTAAGAAAAAGGACACTAAATATATATAGAAATGGATAGAAAAATAAATATATACGTATACACAAACATGAAAAAACCAAATTCAAATATCCAGGCAATATGTAACACTTAAAAATAATAACACTATCTAATATATAAAAAGAAAGCTGCTAAACACATAAATATGTATAAATATCTCATACATACTTAAATACGTATTAGTACACATACACGAGTACAAATGTATAATAATATGTGAAATAAAATAAAAAAAATACTTACAGACGTATGTGTACACACATTCTGCACTACAGATAGAAACATACAAAAGTATACCTGTTTTCAAAAGGTAATCGTTGTCGAAGCAAGAACCATTTGAAGACGCGTGAATAAATAAAAGGAGGGAAAATTGGAACACGATTAAAATAGATTTTAATTATAAATAAATTAAAGACTAAAAATTTTACAGTATTTTGGAACTTCCCAAAATATTTTAGTTGTTAATTTATTTATAGTTAAAATTTATTTTAATCGAGATTACATATTCGAAAACATTACAGATCAAAATTTTTGGCAACTTTAAGAAAGTATCTAAAGTATTCGTGCAATTATTACTTTGTTCGTGAAAGTTATATGTGATTGGTTTGCTTCCGATTTTAATCATCCAATCTTTTTGCGGAAAACCATCGTGGTATGCTGGAAAGATGAATTTTTAAACGGATACGGTGACGTGGATGCCGATGCATGCCTTCCCCAAAGATAATTAAGTCTTTTCGAAAAGAAGTCGGCGTTAATCAAAAAACGCAAACCGAAATTCGAACGCAACTTTGTCCATTCTGTTCCCTTTGCTGGGAACAATTGTGCCACCTCTTGTTTGTAGCGGCGGCCTTAACTCAATTGGCAACAAACAACGCTGGCTAAATTTAATCTTCTGAAATATGGTAATGAGAAACCCCCACAAAAAAGAAAGTATTTTTATCATTATTCAAAGCGCTTCCAACCTCTGCTCTCTTTCCACTTCATGCTTCCTTTTAAAATGGATAAGTAGATTTGAGATAGCGTTTTTCTCACAGACTCAGAATGACCCAACGTCCCCATTGGTCAAAAATAAAATCTCTATTATAAATTTTTCTCGTTCATCCATGTATCTTATCTATCGGCCATGAAATGATAATTTGCTTATCATTTTGGTGGACAATGGGATTACGGAAGACAATTACGACACCTACCGTCACTTATCTGTCAATAGACGAAGCGTTCGCCATCTAAATTCCTACTAGCGGTCTTTCTGCATTCATTCTTCCCGCCAGTTTGATTTTCATCAATAAATGACATTGACAGTCATTGTTCACCCTGGTACTCTTGTGTCGGGCATTCGTCGGCCCGTCTTTATGACAATCATATGGTGTTTGAAAAACGAGTCTTGTGGAGGGTGAACGGGAGACATGAAGAATAACCGTTTTTGTGATTGGTTAGTCAGAGATTCCGTGTAATAGAATTTGGCCTCTATCGTAGAAAAGGGAGAGAAATATTTGCCTGAATGACCAACAAGTGCTCATCAGGATTGGCTTAAAAGCAACGATAAAATTGTATTTTTGAGCCGCCTTTAGTTCGTATTCTCAATTTGCAGACATGTACCAAAACTCTTAGGAATTGATAACGGGGATTATTGTCGCGTCTGCTAAAATGGACTTTAAGTATCCAGAAATAAATTGATTACCGTGGACATGGTGTGTGAAGGCCTCACACTGACAATGCAGATACACAATCATTGGTTACAGACAGAATCACTTAAGTTCATATCAACCTTATTTGGGGAAAAAATCTTTACTAACAATGTTATATGATCATGTATCTAATATTATGTTGATATAAAATGCGTGTATTTGCGGTGTACGTCTTTCAAGCATAGAAAATAAGTAGCATCAGAACAGATGATTAAAACAAAATCTGCGTTTCTCAAACTTGGGCCTATATTTTTAAGAGAAATACAAATCTCTATCAATGGAATGACCTGTAGGATTGAAACTTATACCATTGTTCCATGGAGAATTGAATTTTTACTAAGCTTAGTATGGTAGAATGTTTTAAATATGAAGCACAATTGCGAGAGAGTCCTAAGTATTTTTTTAAAAATATTCATTCCATCAAGGCAACAAAGCCACTAAGACGCAAGATGTTACTGCGTGTGAAAGAATAAGAGTAAAAAAAAAACATTATTATAAAGAGAACGATAAACAGTTATGAAGACAAAAGACAACGATTGATCATGCATTTAAACATTCACCCAAAACAAGGCAACAAAGCTACTAAGACGCAAGATGAAAAGACAGTGAAAGAATAAGAGAAAAAAATATTATTAAGAAGAGAGAACGATAAAAAAATACAAGAATTATGAAAAAAAAAGACAATGATTGACGCAAGATGAAAAGCATTTAAATATTAAGAAGAGAGAACCCAAAAAAAGGCAAGAATTAAAGCCAAAAAAACGCAAGAGGATGCTTTAAATATTGTCAAAGAATAAGAAAATAAAAGCATTATTAAGAAAAACTTAACATATAGCCTCTTAGAACTTTCGATAAAAAATCTGAATGAACTTTTCTCTAAAACGAAAACATGTATTGGTTATATCTTTTTGTATCATTGTTAGTTAAACACATATGTAAATTATCCAAATTCCCATTCCGAATATTGGCTAGTTCTGATCCCTTACTCCTGTATAGTTTGGTCAGGTAGATGGGCAACGGTTTTGGAGTTCCGACTGCTCTAAGGTTGGATGTGCGATTGTGGGTAATAGGCAAATGGTCGAAATTGGAAATTGGAGAGCCGAGTTCCAATTCCAGTCGAGTTCATTATATTCACTCATACACAAATACCCTCGGAAAAACGTAAGAGTCCAACACCCCACCCGCAATTAATTAGTAGAATTTGTATCAGTAAAATAATTATGTTCATGAAAAAATTCATACACTCTAAACATATTTTTCTGGCTTTAAATAACCTGCCAAAAATTGTTAAGACTTTTAAAATCTAATCATTCTTGAAATTTATGTAGTCAACGTCACACAGATAGATAGATAGATAGATAGATAGATAGATAGATAGATAGATAATGAACATAGATAGATAGATAGATAAATAGATAGCTAGATATGAATAGTTGACTATAAAGTTAGTTAATGAACAGACTAAAATAGGTTGATATAAACAAATATAGATAGATTCAAACAGACTGTAATTAGATAGATAGATAAATAGATAGATAGATAATGAACATAGATAGATAGATAGATAGATAGATAGATAGATAGATATGAATAGTTGACTATAAAGGTAGTTAATGAACAGATTAAAATAGGTTGATATGAACAAATATAGATAGATTCAAACAGACTGTAATTAGATACATAGATAGATAGATAATGAACATAGATAGATAGATAGATAGATAGATAGATAGATAGATAGATAGATAGATAGATAGATATGAATATACTGAGATAGATAGATCGATAGATATGAATATACTGAGATAGATAGATAGATAGATAGATAGATAGATAGATAGATAGATAGATAGATAGATATGAACAGGTAGACATGAATAGACTGAGATATATTTTTACATTTAAAATAGTAAATTGCAAAGCCAATACAGTCAGTGGCCAAAACATCTTTTCGGATCGAACATTGAACAGAAAATAAAATAAATTCACTAGCAGCCATACTTAAATTTGATTAGCATGTTATAAATACGACTGTGAAATAGACATGTCTTCTGTTTGCTCGCCTTGGTATGTAACTATTCTGATGCTTTGTTTCAATAAGTAGACCAACTCACCAATCTTGGCCTTTTACCCAACTTAGCACGGTTCTTCCGCTAGTAACCATGCCATACTCTCTGTATTATATGCAAATGCATTGTCACGTGAGCAGATAGCGTCTTAAATCTCTTGAAAGCAATCATTTTTTTTTTTGTCATTTTCCCGCTGTATAATATTCTCCTGGGCTTTTGCTTTCTGTGACATGAACTTGTTCACTGTGATTATATATTCTCACCTGTCCAGGTGCAATTATCCGAACGATGTACTACAGAATGACTTGTTAAAAGAAACACCAACGACGCAATATCTGGAAAAACAAAATGCAGAGATTCGCGAACGTTCATCTTATCATTTTTTTTTATTTTTCAATTTACTATTTCGCTATTCTCGTGGGCATTTTTGCCATTCTGAATTCCATTTCGTAGTTTTGCTATTTAGGTCTTTATCGATATATTTACGTTCCAACACACACACACGCGCGCGCACATACACACACACACACACACACAGAGTCATAGGCATGTATATAGATAGATAGATAGATAGATAGATAGATAGATAGATATTATTAATGACAAAAGAAAGAAAGAAAAAAAGAAAGAAAGAAAGAAAAAAGAAAGAAAGAAAAAAAGAAAAAAAGAAAAAAGAGACAAAGAGAGAAAAAAAAGAAAGATGAATAACGGAAGAAGAAATAAAGTGTGAAGTTAAGTATAAGGAAGGAAAGCAGGCGGAAAAAAGATAGATAGATAGATAGATAGATAGATAGATAGATAGATAGATACAAACAGAGGGAGAAACTGAGATAAATAGACAATTTATGAACAGACATAGATAGATAGATAGATAGATAGATAGATAGATAGATAGATAGATGTTGTTGTAACTTAGGGAAGGTTACTGAATAGAATAATCAAACGAGTTTGGTAATGAACGATAATACTTAGGACAAGAACAACACGTATAAGATTCGCCGGCTGCGCGTATAAGAATTAGTCAACTGCTAGAAGTGAGTCAAGTGAATTCCACAATGAATCTACCAACCACCCCACGCGGTCAGATGTGACACAAGGCCGAATCTAATGTGGGGTATCCGAGCCCGTAGGCTCGGCCAAAATTTCCCCGTAGACCCCGTATAAAACGGGGTCGGGTAGCTGTTTCCCGAGACGAGACTCTACGTTTCGACCTAGCCTCGTCTGGAGATGCTCCCTGCCCAGAAGCAGAGAGTTGACCAGCACAGCTGGAGATGAATCTCCGACTGCAGACCAACGTACAATATTTACTACTGTATTTATGTGAATGGGGACATAGCCATTATCGTCCGTAGGTATGTTACAACAGATAGATTGATAGGAACAGACTGAGATAGATAGATAGATAGATTAGATAGATAGATGAAGATAGATGGGATGTCTGAGCCCGTAGGCCCAGCCAAAAATAAAACCCATCTAAACCCGTCCAAGCGGGCAGTTATAATATCATCCCCGGAAAATTAGCTTTTTTCATTTAAGCATCGACGTCCGGCCAGCCTCCAAAAATACTACACTTTGATCCTAGCCACCGGGCCGAGCGGGTATTCTTTTTTAATACATAGATAGATAGATAGATAGATAGATAGATAGATAGATTCTACAAAAAAACTGTACATATAATTTCATCGGAATTATATTTTTCATTTAAGCATCTACGTCCGGCCAGCCCCAAATAAAACTTCGAATTGTGACCAGCGAGGGTTTTTCGAAATAGTAAATTTGTGTGTGTGTGTGTGTGTGTGTGTGTGTGTGTGTGTGGGTCAGAATCAATTCGAAGACTGAACAGTTTTGTGGAAGCATGACTTACTTGATGTAACCTTTCCCTGTCTTTTAATCGAATTAATTCATTTAGGAGTCAGTAGAAAAAAAAGTACATTTTAGCTCTCCGATCATCGCCTTATATTAGTTTTTATATCTCAATTAACATCATCTTGAGGGGTTTTATCCTGACGGTAATGGAACCAAATTCAGGTTAGTAACACCGTAGCGGTGTGGAGTTTCTTTTTAAAACGCCCGCGTACGAGGTTGAAATACGTGATTAGGTTACACAGAGAACTCGGCATTTCCTTGCCCTCCGTTTGAAGAAACTGTGGTGCAGGGTAGGCAAATTTAGAAAATCTGATTTCATATTTCCATGTTAGTCGGCGTTGAATGGCAGCGGGATTTGAGGTCGCACAGGATTGGGAAAGCTGTTATTTTTTTTTATAATTGTATACTAATATGTTTTGTGTCATAATAAATCTTTTAAAAATTTGAAATATTAGAATATCTAAAATATAATATTGTATAAAGCTAAGTGTGCCCGTGGCAAATTATCTCTATCTATAAAAGGCAGGATGTGTGTGTGTGTGTGTTTGTGTGTGTGTGTGTGTGACGAATGCACGGCTTCAATTTTCGACGGATTTGCACCAAATTGTGCATGCACATGCTCCAAGTTAGCGGAAAGGCAAAGACCGACTTTGCATTTCCCATCGATAGTGGAAATAATCGATTTTTTCATGCTTCTACGGCTTTTCATGTAGTTTGCGGCCATTTTGTACTGGCCAATAGCTGGCTGCCACGAATAGGCAGGAAGATTCTATTGGCCAGCGTGAGAGCCAACAGCTGACTGACACGAATGTTAACTTGCAAAAAAATCGATAGCTGCATTCGTCACAAGTGGGAAAAATTTAAATCTGCATGGCACTTTACTCCAATTGGCTCATTCGCTTGCTTAAACTCAACGTTGATTCTGATTCCGCAGAACTGGGTTGGATGTAAAAAAGTATTTGTTGTTAACATTCTTTTTTCATTCGGTTTTTCCAGTTACGACTCCTTTTTTAAAGCTGATCGTTTTGTGTTCATTTTGTTTAGTTCTTTTTTCACAACAGATTTAATGTTTAGTATAGAGCTTAAAAAAAATTCGCAGTGTGAGATAAGTAAGAAGTAAGGCATGTAGCAACATCAGCACGGAAAAGGGCCCTCCTTTAAAGGCAAGGAAGGGCAAAAATATTTTAAATCAAGTGATAGCGATGCTGTATGAGTCGTACGATTTTCGAATCAAGCACGGCCAACGCCGGGCCAGGCTGCTAGTTAACAGTTAAATTTAAACATCTCTTAAAAATAAAATAGACTGATATCTGCTAAAACATCAGCAAAAACAGATGGAAAATTTTGATTTTGACATGACTCCTTTCGGGTATATTTGTCCATCTGCGCCATTTTCTTTCACCCAATAATTTGCTCTAAATACTTTCTCCGAGCAATATGGCCCTCCGTACATTTTAATTGTGCAAACCTGATCTAAATATATATTTTTCCTATAAAAGCTATGTTCTTTCAGGTCAGGAGCAATCATGTGTCCCCACATTTTTCTCATCTTTTCTCTCTAAACTCTGCTTTGCCTCGATTTTTCCTAAATAGGCGAACGATTTCCCATTGCTTTCCGTACAGTTTTAAATTCCAAGGAACTATATTTGAATATCCGCTAAACCATAGCCAGAGAGTCCAGATTGCTATTTAACCGTTAGCTAGGTAGAGAAAAATCGATGTGTCTATAAATTTCACAAAAGTATTAACTTTATGTGAAAAACTGGCTCTGTCGGTGTTTGATCTCGGATCTTAGAAAACATTTATTGTTATTCCTCGAACCTCGAGAGTAAATTCTAGACAATTTCGTCACACGTGAAGATGTAAATTCAATCGAAAGAGACCTAAAGAAGCATGATGAGAATAACATAGCCGGAACATTTACATAACGAGGAATTTCTCGGGAAAATGGGAAATAAAAACGCATTCATAACTGCTGTGATTATTCAACAAAGAAATGGGGTTGTAAGCAAGGATGCAAGGTATGTCATGGACTGAATATGTGAGTAATAAGGAAGTTTTAAGTTTGAAAAAAAAGGACATTTATACTTAGGATAAAAAGAGACAGGTGAAATGACGAAGTCATATCCCGAAGAAAGAAAGTTTGGAGAATTTAATACTCACAAGGCATAATGAAGGCAAGATAGACAGCGGAAGCCAAACGATTTATATGGGGGAAAGAGTGGTGAATGGGAGGGATAGTATAGGAACCAGTGCGACTACAAAAGACGGGAAATTGGGGAGAGCCATGATCTCCACAATCCTGAAGGGCCACTATAAATAAAATTAGAAAATACCTTTAGAATCAACATCCGTCAAATAAGTTTTTCATGCCCATTGTTTGTTAGATCCGGTATAACAAAGTCAAAATCATTTTTTGGTGTGAATTCTTGTTTTTGAAACAAGGAGTTATAACTATACTATAATGGTTCGTTCGGTCCAATTCATTTTGTCTATATCGTTTTTGCGTCGCAACTGCCCGCCAGCTGGAGACTCCAACATTCCCTAACGTTTGCCCCATCTGGAATGTCGAATGCTGATCTGAGAGGGCTAGCGCTTCCCAATGCATAAAAAACCCTCTAAATATTTTCCTTGCTAAGACTTGGAAATATCTTCCATATAAATGCTTACAAAATAGCTGAATTTAAAACTAAACAGCTGAATTTAGTTTTCTTAACCAGTGTTAACATTATACAAGGTCCTAAAGTCACTCAATGAAATGGCTTACTGAAGAAACATGAGCAGTTAGAGCAAGGGATAAGTGACCCAGTTTAAGAGGATATGTGTGAAAGGTACTAGTTTGGAACAGGTTAAGATTGTTGTAGTCGGCAGATCATCCTTTTAGGATTCGATTCCACAAGATATCGATTTGTATGAAGAATCTTTTCGAGTGGAATTTAATTATTACCAATGGAATACGAACCGAATAAGGGCGGTTTACCTCAGTATAAATCTGACATAAATTGATCTCCGGACAATCAGATTTACAGAATCTAAGACCATCAGCATACCGAGTCCAGTAAATTATCATTTCGCGTAAAGAAAGTATTGTCCTTCTCATGCAGGAATTAAACTGGTTAAATGTTAGAATAGTTAAGCATTTAAGAACCAGGTTTTCTTTCAAGATTTTATAGCAATTTAACGACTATAATGGCTTACGAGCACCCCTCGTTGAAACAACAGTTCTCGTAAGATGACCGAAGTTAAGCAACGTTGAGCCTGATCAGGAGCTAGATGTGTAAACGAATGCCGGGAACCGCAAGCATAGATTTACGATTTGTGTGATAGATGACATCATGGAATTGGAATTTGGAGATCTGAATTCCAGTTGAGTTTCTTATATCCACTTACGTGAAAATCAAATATGATTCGAACAAGCTACATAAGAGTTCTCATGTTTCAAAACAAGAGCCGAAATCTTCAATATAATTATTTGAATTAAAGTACTAAGCTCTGCACCATCTTCAAGCGAAATTTTTTTGGAATATCTTATTTCTGAAATTTACGTGTTTTAAAAGCATATTCATTATTAAAATCAAAATTTCTATGGTAACGGCTAGAGCAATTGTTTAACGAAAAAGGGGCGTAAGGTGTTAATAATTTATATCAATATCTCGGTTACATTCACAGATGTCAAATCAGGGTAAGGTTGGGGTGTCTAAATTTAAAGCGGAAGAAGACATCGCCAGGTCTGGTTAAGCGTCTATGGAAATGTTTTTTTAATTTTATTTTATTTTTTTTATGAAAGGATTTTGTGTATATAAAAACTGTCGTAAATCGCTAATATTTGTTTTTTGACGACTTCATAAATGGTTATTTTTTTGGTAGGGCATTATATATATATATATATATATATATATATATATATATATATATATATATATATAATCATGCATCAGATTGCTAAGGCTACCAGTACTTTCGGCAAACTTCGCCATCGCTTGTGAAATGAGCGGCTATTCGACTGGATACGAAAATTCGGGTTTACAGAGCTGTTGTACTTGCCATCCTTTTGTATGGCTCAGAGTCATGGACTCTATACAGGTACCATATACGCCAGCTAGATGTTTTTCATAAAAGCTGTCTGCGTGCAATCTGTAGAGTTAAGGCTCAAGATAGGACATCTAACGTAGACCTGTTTAACAGGTTTAATATTGGAGGAATCGAGACTTTTCTCATACAGTCTCAGTTACGGTGGACTGGTCATGTCTTGAGAATGTCTGATGACAGGATACCCAAGATCCTAATGTACAGCCAGTTAGATCAGGGCTACAGGAATGTAGGACGCCCATGGCTAAGATACAAAGACAAGCTGAAAAGCAACTTGTCAGCAGTCAATATACCACATAACACCCTTGAGCGCTTAGCTTTAGGAGCGGGTAGAATGGAGATCAACATGTTTTAGTGGACTCAGGAGATTTCAATCTGCTTGTCTGAATCATCTTCAAGAAGCGAGAGCAAGATATAAAAATATATAATCAGCCAATCTAACAGTGATCTCATCTCATAATCCTGACACTTGCTCCATATGTGGCCTCCTTTGTAAATCAATAGCGGGTCTTAAATGCCACTTAAGATTATCGCACAAAATTTCATAACTGAACCAATAAGCTCTCAGATCCTCATACGTTGAATCCGACGGGAGAGTCCATCATATATATATATATATATATATATATATATATATATATATATTACATATTAGACAAATCCAAAATGACCTCATAAATATAGCTATTGGTTGAAATAGCTATATTGATGAGGTCATTTTGGATTTCTCTCGTATGTCATTTATATGCTCTGTTATAATAAATATATTGAGCTCTTTTTTTGTGAATCAGTTTTAATATTTTATACTGTTTGGATTCACTTTCATTATATTATATACCTCTATTATATATATATATATATATATATATATATATATATATATATATATATATATATATATATATAAATTCTCACTTGAAATATTTTAACTTTAGCGTTGCGACTTGCACGTTCCAATATTATATAACCGTTAATAAATAACACATTCTTAAAAAAACCATCTTTCGGTTTACAACACATTTATTTCGTCTTCGAGTCTTGATTTTAAAGGAAAAAATTACAGCGTGACGATGAAAACCTGAAGTTTTTGAAAGTACTAACTGCTCTAAAAATATACCAGACCCATCTGACAACAATTTTATACATAAGGATCGCATAACATGACATCCTTTACATCATTCAGTGAATTGTTAGTAGGTTAATGCTTATTTTAAGTGTGATAGCGAAGAGAATTCGCCATTAATTGCATTAATATTACTAATTGATTCAATGTATGATTAACTCTTTATAATATAAAATTTATGCTGACTAATATATATATATATATATATATATATATATATATATATATATATATATATATATATATATATATATATCCAAGTATATAATTGGTGTATACGGAATGAATTCAAATAACCAACAATTACTATTCTTAAAAGAGTGCTCAAAATAGTGTAGAGCATATATAATTATTTATTTAAAAAAATTAAAACGTAAATATGTTATAAAATCCCTACAAAAATAGCCATTTTGTTTCAACACCTCCGGGGTCTTATCAAGTGATGATGTTGAATGCAAAAAACTTGATGAGACTCCGGAGGTGTTGAAACAAAATGGCTATTTTTGTAGTGATTTTATAACATATTTATGTTATATTTTTTTTAAAATAAATAATTATATATATATATATATATATATATATAAATTTTACTTTTTCTTTCACCAACTCTTCGTACGCTCTCTATATCTGTGAGTATATTTGTGTGCGTGAGGGTTTACGAACATGTGTGTCTATTCTTAAGAATATAATGGATGGTGAATTTGTTTTTAGAGAGTTTCTAAGACCATTGAATAAGTCGTTTGATAACTGTTCTAAATTTGTAAAGGGACTTGCTCAAATTGTGTCTTGGTTTCCAAGTAATTTCGACCATTTTTTCTCGATTTCTTGGATAAAAGATAGGGATTCGATAACAAGCAACCAGCGATGGTTGATAATGCTCAGAACGCAACACATAATTTCGGCAATTCCTTTTACCTGACATCAAACTGTTTGCTCGAGAGTAGGACAAACAAACGCACCAAAAGGCTTCAGAGACATTCTCCTCCCAAATCTATTTAATACGTGGTGTTTAAACAACGAATAGCTGCTTAAATGTACGACGCGTAAATATTATACATACATGCATATATATACCCACATACATATATAAATATATATATATACACACATATATATATATATATATATACATATATATATATATATATATATATATATATATATATATATATATATATATATATATATATATATATATATATATATATATATATATATACATACATACATACATACACACACACACACACACATATATATATATATATATATATATATATATATATATATAATGACTACGATATCAACAATAAACATGACGCATCTGGTCAGCTTGCCTTTACTTACATTGTTTGTTGATATACCAATGGACATATATTTGAAGATCAAATGTAATGTTAAAACAACAGTGGCAGACCTCAATATCCGCCCAGGTCGGGTGAACAGAAGTTATGGGCCGGTGAGTGGGTACAGCAGAACGAGTTGATCTTGTTTCAGTTTAACCATCTTAACGTCTTACTTCCAAAATACTTTACCCGCAGTGTATGTTTATTATTACAAATGGCTCCTGTTAGCTTCCTGTCGGATGGAAGGTGGATGACACCCATTGTTTATCCAAGATTGAACACAACAAATAAAAGGTAAGAAAATGGCTTGTGTTCACATGTAAAGAGTACGCTATGGTTATTTTAGTCGATAGCCTGTGTATGCCTCGGAATTGTTGTATATACTTGCACGGCCGGTGCAGGTTTCTCGTGTCGCCCCGAATCGATGATACAGTCACCTCCTTCCGAAACAATGATACGGGACTACGTACTCTAGTATATCTTGGTTTTCATAAGGTAATCATATTAAATACATATCTTATTGTAACCTAATCATGTGCAATAATGGATTATATTCAATACAGGGGAACAATTGAAATATTGACAAAAAGATACATGCATATATACATACATATGTTTGTTGATATACCAATGGAGATATATTTGAAGATCAAATGTGAATATAATGTATCTAATAAGAGATATGTCGTAATAGATTATTCCATCATAAATATATCAACAATGTTTTTGCGGCAATTTTAAACATCAACTTGATATTTGTCTAGTTATAAGGTTGAATTATTTAACGCATTATGGATAAAATAGTAAAATTTATATCGAGATTTTTCGAGACTTAGCATGAAAAGAAGAATGGCGTCAGAATCCGCGAAAATTTTACATCGTTTAATAGTTGTACTTTAATTTGTAACGTATATAAATGTCAGTCAGTTATGTGTCATGTGTGATACACGCTTAGGCGATCATGTATCCTTCAATACATGACTGACGAGGCAGATATTTTTCCCGCTGTAGTTTGTCAATTGTTTCAGCGGTAGACCAGTTGCCATCCAAGGCTATAGAACCCGGCCTGTCCTGCTATTTACCGATAGCTGGGGGGGGGGGGAGGAAGAGGATCCATAACTTTCCCAAGTGTATTAACACGTAAGTGAATTTCATTATTATGTGTCATGCGTGATACACGCTTAGGCGATCATGTATCATTCAATACCTGACTGACGAGGCAGAGTTTTTTTTTTTTTTTTCTCGCAGTAGTTTGCCATTTGTTTCAGTGATAGATCAGTTGCCATCCAAGGCTATAGAACCCGGTCTGTCCTGCTATTTACCCATAGCTTTGAGAAGAAGAGGATCCACACCTTTCCCAAGTGTATTAACACGTAAGTGAATTTCATTATTATGTGTCATGAGTGATACACGCTTAGGCGATCATGTATCATTCAATACCTGACTGACGAAGCAGAGTTTTTTTCCCGCAGTAGTTTGCCATTTGTTTCAGTGATAGATCAGTTGCCATGCAAGGCTATACAACCCGGTCTGTCCTGCTATTTACCCATAGCTGGGGGGGAGAAGAAGAGGATCCATACATTTCCCAAGTGTATTAACACGTAAGTAATTTCATTGTTATGTGTCATGCGTGATACACGCTTAGGCGATCATGTATCATTCAATACCTGACTGACGAAGCAGAGTTTTTTTTCCCGCAGTAGTTTGCCATTTGTTTCAGTGATAGATCAGTTGCCATCCAAGGCTATAGAACCTGGTCTGTCCCCCTATTTCCCATAGCCGGGAGGGAGAAGAAGAGGATTCATACCTTACCCGAGGGTATCAGCACGTAAGTGAATGTAATGGAATTTGATCTCGGTTCTCCGATTCCTCAATCCGAGCCGCTCTTCATTACTCCACCATTAGGATGTAAGTGATCATGTCTCTTCTCAATTTTCTGTCCTTTGTAGTTAATTTTGACGTAATTAAAATCAAACTTTGATAAGATAGCGAGGTTTACAAAGTACTGGCTGCCGCAGATCTTGCTTCTTACCTGGTAATATGCACACGTATCGCTCAGAGCGAAAATCAAAGGATTTTTTCCATTTTTATTTTATTTTTGACAACTAAAAAGAATCACTTTCTAAAATAGAAACATTTAACTCGTTTAGAGTGCACATACGTAAGGGAGGGTTACGGATAACGGATAGGAATGTGAAATCGGAGAACCGAGTTCGAATTCCAGTCGCGTAAGGGAAGGTATGAACCTAAATCTTCTCCTCCATTTATGCGTTAACTACGAGAACAAATTGGGTCTTATAGCCTCGGTTGGCAAATGTCTGTAGCAGAAAGATATGGCAGTCTACTGCGGGAATTCCTCTGTTAAGTCAATCACGAATCGAGAAAAATATATGATCAGCCAAGCGTGCATCACGGAGGAAAAAAGGAAGGAAGCACCAAAGAAAGAAAGAAAGGAAGGAAGGAAGCACCAAAGAAAGAAAGAAAGAAAGGAAGCACCAAAGAAAGAAAGAAAGAAAAAAAGAAAGGGAGGAAGGAAGAAAGGAAGCACCAAAGAAAGAAAGAAAAGAAAGAAGAACCAAAGAAAGAAAGAAAGACAGAAAGAAAGAAAGAAAGAAAGAAAGGAAGGAAGGAAAGAAAGAAGGAAAGAAAGAAGGAAAGAAGGAAGGACCAAAAAAGAAAGAAAGGAAAGAAGACCCAAAGAAAGAAAGGAAGGAAGGAAGGAAGGAAGGAAGGAAGGAAGGAAGAAAGAAAGGACCAAAGAAAGGATGGAAGGAAGCACCAAACAAAGAAAGAAAGGAAGGAAAGATTCAGCGCTGACAATCTGAATGAAGATTGAATTGTTTGCAGGCCCGTGTAACTGGGTGTGTCTTTGAGTTTAAACATACCCCTCCCTTGGTACCACCGTCAACAACCTATTTCCATTTCCAAACGCTCTTCCAGAACTCTCCTACCCCATGCACTTGTCTTTTCAGCGCGCGCAGAAATGAGCAATTTACCAATAGTCAGAAAATACAAATGAGTTCAGCACCTGCTATTCTGAAAAAAGAAAGAAAGAAAGAAAGAAAAAAGTAAGAAAAAAAGAAAGGAAGAAAAGAGAAAGAAAAAATGAAAGCAAGAAAGAGAAAGAAAGAAAAAGAAAGAATGAAAGCAAGAAAGAGAAAGAAAGAAAAAGAAAGAAAACAGAAAGAAAGAAAGAAAGGAAAAAGAAAGAATGAAAGAAAGAAAAAAGAATGAAAGAAAAAGAAAGAAAGAAAGTAAGAAAAAGAAAGAAAGAAAGAAAGAAAGAAATGAAGGAAGGAATTTGCGAAATAGAAGGCATTAAAGAAGGAGATGAGGAGAATAATAAATGTAATGAAAGAAATGAAGGGCTTGGAAGAAAGAAAGAAAGAAAAAAGAAAGAAAGAAAGAAAGAGAGAGAGAAATAGAGAAAGAAAAAAAAGGAAAGCAATGAAGGAAGCAAGTTGCGAACTAGAAAGAAAGAAGGAAGGAAGAAAAAAAGAAAGAAAGTGTTGCGTGTTACAAGGAATTAAGGGAGGAGATGCGGGGAAGTTTTAATAAACGTGTTAAGAGAAATAAAGGGAGTGGGTGAAAGAAAAATTAATAATGGAAAGAAAGAAAGAAAGAAAGAAAGAAAGAAAGAAAGAAAGAAAGAAATGAATAATTGAACGGATAAGGGAAATAAATGGGTTAGCTGAAAAAATAAAGGTAACAAAAAATAATGAAACAGGAAGAAAGAAAGAAAGAAAGAAAGAAAGAAAGAAAGAAAGAAAGAGAATAAATAGATAACGGGGTAAGTGAAATCAAAGAATTCGATGACAGTAAAAAAAAAGAATAGAAAAGAAAGAAAACAAGAATGAAGAGAGAGAGGGGTTGAAGAAAAGAAGAAATTATGGATGATAGATTGAATGAAGAAAACGTGAAGAGAGAATCAATGAAAAGACAACAGCGAGAATATTTATGGTTGAGACAGGAAAGTGTGATGGGTTGGTGGATGGTGGGAAGGAGAGGATAAACAAATTAAAGAAAAGAAGAGTGAAATATAAAAAAGGAAAGAAAAATTGAAAAAAGGAGAAGGAAGGAAATAAAAAATGCAAGCAAAGGAGTGGAGGTGCAAAGTGAAAAACAATAAAGGAAAGATGGAAATCGAAAGAAATATAAGAAGAAACAGAGAGAGAGAGATAGATAGAGAGAGAGAGAGAATGAGTCATTTATAAAGAAGGTGGAAAAAGTGTAGGAATGAAAAAAAAAGCAGACTTAATAAAAAATATAATAGAATATGAGAGCAAAGTAAAAGAAAGAATAAATTTGGAGAGGAAAGAAAAAACAAATAGACAAGAAGAAGAGTCAGGAGCAACAAAACTCGAAAATAAAAGGAGTATAAAATCGTGAAAGAAAGAACATACCGAAAAAAGAACACGCATTATTGCGTAAAATGCCGGTGAAGATACAGTAAACCCGTTGGACAATGGACTTCAGGAAGGATAAGTTTTTTATGAGGCTAAAATTAGACAAAACTTCAGTTTAAGAGCGACAGACATCGACGGTTTTCGTTTGGTACATTGCAGAATATTTGCTAAAATTTAAGAAATCGTCCATAGAGAGATAGATAGATAGATAGACAGATAGATAATGCTAAGCCTGTCATAGATAGATAGATAGATAGATAGATAGATAGATAGATAGATAATGCTAAGCCTGTCATAGATAGATAGATAGATAGATAGATAGATAGATAGATAGATAATAGACAGATAAGCCTGTCATAGATAGATAGATAGATACATACATAGATAGATACATACATACATACATAATACATACATAGATAGATAGATAGATAGGAGGGGAGATAAGTCATAATAGAGATAGATAGATAGATAGATTATGAACAGACATAGATAGATAGATAGATAGATAGATAGAAGCCTAGGGAGGGACTGAGATAAATAGATAGACATAGATAGATAGATAATAGCCTGATAGATAGATAGATAGATAGATAGATAGGGAGAGGCTGAGATAGATAGACAATTTATGAACAGACAGATAGATAGATATATAATGCTAAGCCTGCCATAGATAGATAGATAGATAGATACATACATAGATACATACATACATACATAGGGAGAGGCTGCGATAAATAAACAATTTATGAACAGACATAGATAAATAGATAGATAACGTTAAGCCTGTCATAGATAGATAGATAGATAGATAGATAGATAGATAGATAGAGATAGATAGATAGATTTATGAATAACAGATAGATGATATATAATGCTAAGCCTGTCATAGATAGATAGATAGATAGATAGATAGATAGATAAATAAAGATAGAACAGATAGATAGATAGATAGATAGATAGATAGATAGATAGATAGATAACGTTAAGCCTGTCATGAGATAGATAGACAATTTATGAACAGACAGATAGATAGATATATAATGACTGAACAGACAGATGATAGATATATAAGATAGATAGATAGATAGATACATACATACATAGATACATACATACATACATAGGGAGAGGCTGCGATAAATAAACAATTTATGAACAGACATAGATAGATAGATAGATAGATAGATAGATAGATAGATAGATAGATAACGTTAAGCCTGTCATAGATAGATAGATAGATAGATAGATAGATAGATAGATAGATAGAATGGGAAATAGATAGATAGATAGATAGATGTTTGGGAGAGGCTGAGATAGATAGACAATTTATGAACAGACAGATAGATAGATAGATATATAATGTTAAGCCTGTCATAGATAGAGATAGATAGATAGATACATACATAGATACATACATGTCATAAATTGTACATATATATTTGATTTGAGGCTAGATAGATAAATAAACAATTTATGAACAGACATAGATAGATAGATAGATAGATAGATAGATAGATAGATAACGTTAAGCCTGTCATAGATAGATAGATAGATAGATAGATAGATAGATAGATAGATAGTGTTTTTAGAATTTGGGAAATCGTAGAGAGAGAGAGATGTCAACTGGCAAATTGTACATATATATGTTTGTTTGCATTTGTGGAATCTTAGATAGAGAGAGATATGTGGCCTGGCAAATTGTAGATAGAAATTGTAGATAGATAGATAGATAGATAGACGTTAAGATAGATAGATAGATAGATAGATAGATAGATAGAGTGTTTTAGAATGGGAAACGTTAAGTACATATATATGTTTGTTTGCATTTGTGGAATCTTAGATAGAGAGAGATGTCATAGATAGATAGATAGATAGATAGATAGATAGATAGATAGATAGTTAAGCCTGTCATAGATAGATAGATAGATAGATTTAGATAGAATTTGGGAAATTCGGGAAAGAGAGAGAGAGATGTCAACTGGCAAATTGTACATATATATGTTTGTTTGCATTTGTGGAATCTTAGATAGAGAGAGATAGATATGATGGATAGATAGATAGGATAGAAATTGTAGATAGATAGATAGATAGATAGATAGATAGATAGATAGATAGATAACGATTAAGCCATATATATGTTTGTTTGCATTTGTCATAGAGAGAGATAGATAGATAGATAGATAGATAGATAGATAGATAGATAGATAGATAGATAGTAACGTTTTAGAATTTAGATAGATAGATAGAAATAGATAGAGAGAGAGAATTGTCAGAGAGAGAGAGATGTCAACTGGCAAATTTGTACATATATATGTTTGTTTGCATTTGTGGAATCTTAGATAGAGAGAGATATGTGGCCTGGCAAATTGTAGATAGATAGATAGATAGATAGATAGATAGATAGATAGATAGATAGATAGATAACGTTAAGCCTGTCATAGATAGATAGATAGATAGATAGATAGATAGATAGATAGATAGATAGATAGATAGTGTTTTTAGAATTTGGGAAATCGTAGAGAGAGAGAGATGTCAACTGGCAAATTGTACATATATATGTTTGTTTGCATTTGTGGAATCTTAGATAGAGAGAGATATGTGGCCTGGCAAATTGTAGATAGATAGATAGATAGATAGATAGATAGATAGATAGATAGATAGATAACGTTAAGCCTGTCATAGATAGATAGATAGATAGATAGATAGATAGATAGATAGATAGATAGATAGAGAGAGATAGATAGATAGATAGATGATTTTTAGAATTTGGGAAATCGATAGATAGAGAGAGAGATGTGTTTTTAGAATTTCAACTGGCAAATTGTACATATATATGTTTGTTTGCATTTGTGGAATCTTAGATAGAGAGAGATATGTGGCCTGGCAAATTGTAGATAGATAGATAGATAGATAGATAGATAGATAGATAGATAGATAGATAGATGTAAAGAAAGTAACGAGAACCAGATCCCTGTACTCCCTACATCAACACACACACACACACACACACACACATATATATATATATATATATATATATATATATATATATATATATATATATATATATACACACTTACATTAGGTGTCAGGTGAACACTGAACAAATGTGATGGGAGCAATAGACTGAACAAACAAACATCCTGCAGCAATTAAAAATGCGTAATCGTCGTTCACCCCTCCATCTGCAAGAAATGCGATATCTCGAGTTCTGACTCGGTCAGATCGTGGCCGCTTTCCTTCCTAAAAATATACACCACCCTTGATTAGGCTATAATCAAATGCACTCCTTATATTGTAACGTAATAAGTGGTTTCGTGATTAACCAAATCAGAATGCGTTAGTTATCTGATTCACAACGATTTATTAGTCGATGTTACTAAGATGGGTATAACGCCCTCTCATTTGTAACCTTGCTATTTGGGAATCCTGTTGTGCCCTTTCTGCACAGTGTTGTACCTTATGACCACTTTTATTCGCGACGTTTGCCGCATTACTGTTGTCAGTGTGAATCTAATTACGGACATTGTTTAATGTCAATTTTTCTATATTAAATCTTTCAATACTACAGTTGTTCTAGTCTGTGCCAGAGGAAATACCACATTCATTAATTCATTTAGTTTTGATAGGTTGGTTAATTCAACGACATTTTTTTGCTGCTGCATTTTGCTGAATACAAGGCCACGCATCACATTGAATTAATAGAATATGTCAGGTTTACCATCGAGTTAAAACTGCAGACATACGTCCGTATTGCACTAGAATAAAACCGGTGAGCACGGATTCGGCTTACACTATAAATAAAAAAAGGGCTTATGCTAGAGTCAGGTTGACACTATAGCCAAACATGTAGACATTGTTCAGGGTTATACTTGAGTCAAAAAGAGATGTGCATTGTTTATATTAGCGTCGGAAAGACAGAAAGAAGACAGGCTTACAGTAGAGGAATAACATGGAGACATAGATCTATATTGCACAATAATCAAAATTGTTCCGTTATATCTTGTTCATGCGAGTGTAAAAAAAAGTCGATAGAGATCTAGTCTACACTAAAATAAAAAGTTATAGATAGGTTTGGTTTAGTCTCATGTCACAACGGCAGACACTGGTCCATTTTACACTAAAGTTGAAACGGTATACATAGAAATGGACAAAGTCCGACAATTATTTTAAGACATTTTTATGTTTATACATTCTTTTTATAGATACAAATATTTAAGTAAATGCTCTGTTTATAATAAACAGTATTAAATAACATTTACCGGCCTGAATGTCCAACGTATTTTCATAGAAAATATTCGTCCTCCGACAGGATTCGAACCTGTAACCTATACAGAACCGTCATATAGCCTGACGTGCTGAGGTGACCGCTTCGGCCACAGATGTTCGTTCGGTTAGCAAGGTCGAATTTACTGCTTTTAAACTACAATCATCCATGAATTTCTCACGTACATTCATATCTGCTCATGGCGTATCAAATGTAAACAAATGACGTCACACATTATGGAATGGACAAAGTCCGACAATTGTTTTAAGACATTTTTATGTTTATACATTGTTTTCACATTTGGACATAGATATTAGTATCTAGAAAAAGAATGTACAGTATAAACATAAACATGTCTTAAAGTATATTTTATTAAAAATTCGAAAAGGCATAGATAAGTGCTTTTTTACACTAGAGTAAAAACGGTAGAAATAGTCAATTTACACTAAATTAAAGACAGTAGACTTAGGCTCACTTTACACTAGTCATAATGTTAGACGTAAGTCCAATTTACACTATAATCAAAACAGTAGATAAAGGTCCAATTGACATTTAAGTTAAAATGGTAGACAGGACTATTTTTCATTAGTGTCAAAACGATAGACGTAAGCGAATTTACACAATAGCCTAAGAGGCGGTGTAATGTTACCAAACCTATCTCCCTAGAACAATTACGACTGAATAGTGAGTTCGATCCTTACTGGGTGTCGCATACTTTTGGCCTTGTGCAACATCTAAGCTACGCTTTGAAAATCACTACACTGCTGTTAAAATGGTAAAGATAGTTTCATTTTATACTTATTTTTAAAATCATTTACTCTAAGTAAGGCAATAAAGCCACTATGACAACGAGGGGTTACTGTGTGTTAGAGGATTAGAAAAAAACTACTATTAGAGGGGAGAGGACAATGAAATAACAAAAATTGAGAAGACAGAAGATAACGATAGACATTGCATTTGCATTTTTGATGATCAAAGTTGACTGGAAAGCAAGAAGCCGGAAGAGAGTTCCACAAAAGTGATGTACAATAGAAGAAACTGTTAGCATAAAACTTACGGTTACATCTAGCCATTTCAATTGTAATTTGAGACCTTGCCGTTGATCTAGTACTGTGCTTAAATTTCATAAAATATTTGTAGCATAAAGGAAAGATCATCAGAACAATTACAATGAGTAAAAAAGTAATGCCCTGCTGATTTAGATCGAGATAGAAAAGTTTCTTTTTTTTTAAGCATTACGCCCCGAGCAAGGCGTGAAGCCACTAGGATGCAGAAGATTTGGAGCAAGAGCGGATAGGAGTGATAGAAGAAAGGATGAGGAGAGGGATAGTGGGTAGATCAAGGTAACTGGAGATGTCGATTGACATTTCATTTGAATAGTTGGAGATTATAGCTCTCAGGGAAACAGTAATTGGGAAGGGTGTTCCACAGGCAATAGGTGCGAGGTATGAAGCTATTGGAGTAGAAGAGACGGCTACATTTAAAAGTTTCTACAGTGTAAGGGTGGGAGCGTGATGCCAGCCTCGTAGGGCGCTTGAATTCATGGAGTCTGGGAACCAGTGAAAGCAGCTCATCGGACCAATCACCATGAAAGTATTTGTAGAAAAGACAGAGAGAGGCGACGGCGCGTCTGTGAGAGAGTGACTGTAGACGAGATGCCAGATCAGGGCCAATTATATTACATATCCGTCTCTGGATCTTGTCAAGAACTCCGAGGTAAACAGAAGGTGCTGTTAGACATTTTCATGACGGTCGTGCTCGAGTATTGAATCCAGAGGTTGGCAGTGAATATTTCGGAGACAGTAGGAAAGCGTACTTTAGTTTCGCAGTGGATATCACAGCAGAGTGTAGTTCATCCTTCTCCTGGTCGCCTTTGGTTCTTCCGGTAGGAGGAAACAAGATGGCCGCCTTTATACACGACGAATACAGTGTTGGGCGGCTTCTGATTGGTCAACCTTCTATTGGTCGACTATAAAGGGAAATAAGTCATTCTGACTCGCTCCCTAGTCATAGGTATATATACCCAAAAAACCGTAACAGGTGCCCCAGACCATATATGGCAGCAATACTCAATGCAAGGGCGAATGATTGATTTGTATATTTGAAGTATCGATTCGCGGCACAGAGAGCCAACTTTCCTTGCGGTGGACGAAGCAATTGATTCACTGTATTTGTTCCATCTCAGGTCAGCAGTCAACGTGAGACCGAGCAGACGCAGAGAATTGATCTCAAGAAGTTGACTATCAGACATTCTAATGGGGGGCAGGGATGGATCTCTATGATGATTAATAGAGAGTAGATTTGAGGCGTTAAAGTTGACCAGCCAATTCTTGCCCCAATTAACAACCGATTGGAGGTCCATTTCAAGACGCACGGCCAGGTTAGTTTTGTCACCGACACTAGATTTGTTTTTGAGGCAGGAGTAAATTGTAGTGTCGTCCGCGCCAATTTAGGCAATTGCCTTTTCAAGCTTCTGCTCGAAAAGCATCGTTTTTTGAAATGATTTTATATTTCCTTGTGCAATAGAGTTTATAAATCTTCAGATCCGTTAACGGGGCA